AATGTATAAATTCTTCTAAATTTTATTATCAATTTATCTGTAAATAGATATTCCAAATCGAAAGAGTACGAACAAATTTGAAAAATATTTTATATAGAGATTTTTCTACTATATTGCCAATGTACAAACGATATTTAAAAGTAACATAGTATATAAAATAGACATACATATATGTGTTTATGTTTTAAACACAACTACTTTTCAAGTGGAATACTTAAATGATTATTTCTACTCGCTAAATAATTAAAACTAGTATAATAATACCCTTGCTAAAAATTAAATAGAACACAAAATACAATTCGGTGTTGCAATACCTATAAAATCCAGTCGAAAAACTGGTTACTGGTTGGCTTACTTAGAAAATTATAAATGTACAATTTTCTTTTTATCAATAAATCATGTACTTCTCCATGAAAGATTGTGTAGATTACGCATTTCACATGTTTAGTTTTACATTGACAATATAGATTATAGGAATTCCCTATATTATTTACCGTAACAACATTAAACAGAATGCTTTAAAGTTTTTGATCGCATAAAATCCTTATCAAACAAAAGTTTAATCGCGTTTTAATCTTATATTCCGAAACCTGAGATTACAAAATGTTTGAATTCTTCAAGGACCCTCCACGCACGCGCACTGAATTGCGCCCTATACATCGTATGATTTATATTCTGATTAACCCTCGAGCGACCTGTTCCATCGGAAACTGGTCAACATTAACATTTTTTAAAGAAAGTCCTTAATTTGGCAATTAAGAATACCCTATCACCATTCCATGCCATGACAAAAAATTACATAGCCGATCATCAAAATAGATAATAGGAACCGAATATGTTTACAGTACTGTGTATAAGAAAAGAAAGAATGAGAGAGAAGCAAACAATTGTAATGTCTTTTCAGAGAATTAATTAGAATTGAATACGGTTGAGGTAAACGGTATGAACGTCCTGAGAGAATAATATCGATCCATAAAGGGTAATATTTTTAGCACGAAACCCTGAATGCGTACCGTTCCGTAGAATAACTTACACCTTCATATTCTGAGTCCGTTAGAAGTAGCCAAGAGAACCGGCACCTTTTCTTCCCGCGGGAACAAACGTGTTCGTATATTACAAATATTTGCTCTTGAGGCACATTGGAGGAGTATACAGAATATTTCTCTAATTGACGTTACAATCGTGTGCGCTTGTAGACAATTCGAATGTTTCCGATGTGCTAACTAAATAAATCGGTCTTTGACGTGATCTTCTTGATGGCTGGCAGTATACGTATCGTCGTGTATTGGCCGTAGTTCAGAGGTATCCTTAAGTCTGTGCTGTCCCTT